TTTTGAATAAAATTGTACTTTGGGCTAAATAACTATAAACGAGTAATGCAAATAAGAATTTGTGACTCGGTGGAAACATGGAAACATGGAAACACTGAACCTATAGCCGCTGCCATATAGTTGGGAATTTCATTATGCGGGCTACTCTTTTACTAGCACTTTTGAACTATAAATTTTGAATAAAATTGTACTTTGGGCTAAATCACGTGTGACTTAACAAAATAAAGTTATTTTTAAAACTCCTATATAAGTAAAAGAAATTAATTTTGAAAAGGATGTTTCTTAGTCGATTCACTCAGCTTGCCAAAAGTAGTTTTCTGCATGGGTTTTGCTCGATGACTCAGTTTACTTTACGTGTGTTCTATAGGTTATCTAGATCTGTGCTTCGTTCAAGCATTGAATTGCTTTTGAATGAACCGTCCCTCCTTCAAGACTACACGTTACTCTGTGAAGTGGATTAAGTTTAAGTCTTATTTGCTTACCTGAGATTCCTGCAGCTGCATCGTAAATTGTCCACCAAGTAAAAATATCCGCCACAATTGTAATTTGTACAATGGAGTTGGGAGTTCTTGAGATGTACACTAAGAATACTAGGAAAGAACAGGGTATGTTTAAGCCTTTTAGAATGCCAGCTTTCTATTTAAGAGAGCTATCAAATAAAATTCCTTCTCCTATCAAGATAAAGGTCTACATTTAACTCAAATTGCCTTAACTAAAATAATATCGACTAAAAATTGTAAGTGAATTTGAAATCCAATTCATCAATTCTAAATGTTACTGAAATTTCTATTCAGTATTAAAATAAAGTTTGGGCTACTAAAACATTCTAAATTGCTTTCAAAACCGTTGTTATTCTTTATCTCTCCTTTCTGTTGCTGATAATGGTAAGATTTGAATAAACTTCACGTAACTTTGGAATGTATTTATTATTCTATGTTTGGGAACGCCGATCTCTGCTGGTTGCTAGAATAGAACAGTGTAGTTGAATAGAACAATGTTGTTGCGGCTACATTGAAACTTAGCCTGCGGGCCGGCCTCTAACTGACTGTTAAGAGAGAAAACTCCGGCTGCACGCAGGCCAATTGAAACTTGGCCAAGGCGCGATACTCTCGTCACATAAAACCTCAAGCAAATATCTCTAGGGATAAAATTTACTAGTAGTATAGAAAGCGAGTAGGCAGTTTTAAAAACTCAACTCTTGCAATCGCCCTTTTTGTTTAATTTCATCGGAATTACAAACACACGTATTATATGTTCATATATATATATACGCTAGAATTAATTTTTTATCTGGTATTATTCAAATATAAAAACATGCTACTATTTCCATGACAGTAGAGCAAAATGTTGGCCTGGTTGAGATAAACTGAGTCGACTCACTCTGATATACTTCCTTAAAAAAAACCGGCTAAAAATGGCGAGAAGCCACTTGGAAACTGAAAACGCAAGAAATCGTTGTCAAAGTTGGCGGGAAAATGGGAAAAACAAATTATTTAATCCGGTTATGACAAATGGTGGAAATGAATCGCATCACTGAAGAAACTGAAAATAAATACCATATCTTAGATGGGAAAAAATGCTATGGAAAATGAAAAAACTCTTTACTTCACTCGGGGTCACAAAATTAAATTCACTCTACATTTAATTAAATTGCCGTGAGAGAACGGTCGAAATAGTATTGTTCGGTTTGTATATTATAGTAAGTGGAGCCTTCTTCTGCATCTTTTGTAGTCAGTTCATTTTCAAGCGCTTCAGGATAAATGTACATACAAAGACGAAGGTTTTTTTTACTATTATCGGAAAATGCATAATTCGAAAACAAACATCCTCAAACGAAGATCCACAAAATAAAGTTAAAGATCTGCATTGTTACGTAACTTCTCAACTCCCTCGATAAAACTGAACGCAAATTGGCGTCTACTTGAAAAAAATAATACGTTATTCCTTAAAAATACTTAAAAGAAGCCGAGAACAAACATGATTTAAGCGTAATAACTAAATAAAGACAAAATATGGTTATACAAATGGCGGGATTTATAGAAAGAAAGTCGCTTAAAAATGGCGGATAAATTCACACTCGAAAATCGACGAAATCAAACTAAAAATAAACTCATGAAAGAAACTAAATATAAATAAAAGACGAGCACTGTAGTAGACTAAAACCTAAGAAAAAATATAAGAGTAGAATTATTGATTGCATTAGCTTTTAGAATTATGAATGCGATCACACATGCGATTAAGAATTCATAACGTTAGAAAAGCAGGTGAAACTTGACTGTTTTATTCCGATATAGGTCGACTCAGTGTTTGTGGCTTATAAATACATCATGATCCGAAACGCTATAGTTTTGATGATCTCTTATCAAGACGAAAAATGTAAACAATTGCATTGACCGAAAAGATAGCTCAAAAGAAAATATATATTATTTCAGATTCATAGTTTCTGCCTTTTCTTTAATTTCGTGTTAAGAATGTCAGCTGTGTGCTAAAATAAATAAAATTAGCATGCCTAGATTAAAAGTTTCCTAGATTTTTCTTACACTCCCTCGAAATCGTCTTGTATCATACCTTTTTATATTTCGAAGYGTCGCCCTATGAAAGAAGTAGTTTGCAGGACTTTCATTCGATCG